TTATTGATACAGCACTAAGGGAAACATCCCTTCCTCTGTGAAAAAAATCACAATGAAACAAAGTAAAGTTATCTTGGCAGAAGTCCCAGAATTAAAAAAAGTAACTTTTTTGATCTGATGAAACACATACCAAACTGCAGTAAATTCAAGCCATCTCTCAACGCAATTCTACAACTAATACAGAAAAACAGAAAAGAAAGTACTGACAGCTTTTCAAAGTTTCTAAAAATGCTAATTCCAAGTAGTCTAAATGGCAGCACATTAAGTGTAAAAGATTCTGCTAATAGACTCTGTAATTACAAACAGTTTGTACTCGTTTTTTTTCCTCTTTTGCTCAAAATTCTTACAATCCTAGTATTTAGCTTTGCTCATCCTTCTACAGTTCTGTCTATCCATACAGCTCCCGTTTTCTTTGTACACTTAAAGTTGAGATGCCACCAGGACTCATTTAAAGTGCTTTAGAACTCCTTTATTTTGACATTTATTTTCTTTGTTATCACGAACACCACGGAAACTCATGGCAAAAACTGCCACTTATTTCAAAAGGTGTACTATCACACCCTAAAATCACTACCATCAAACAGGAAGAGCCAAGAGAGACTGTACTGTTTTCTACTTTCTACCATATTCCTAGGAATATATTAAAGCTTGTTAGAAAGTCCAAAGTCCATAAATAGTTGCTGCTGGAAGGACAAAACTTACTGTTCAGTACATTCTCCAGTTTTTGCGTCATGGATCCTTCTACTTTTTCCGTTCCATCCGCTTCCAGTTTTTGATGGATTGCTGGAATAAAGTGTCTAGTTAAAATGCAGAACATTTTAATAGGTAGGAATACATTACATCAAAGTGACACTTTTAAACATTTTTAAAATTAAAAATAAAGTGTTATTTTTCTTGTTAGACGTAAAAAATACAAACATGCTTCATGGCAGCAGAGTCTAGTGGAGGACAGGGCTTAGAGCCAGACATTGCAGAATTTTAACTGTTCCTTTGACACAGACTTCCTGTATCTTCTTGAACAAGACACTAATGCCGAAGGAAAAAAAAAAATGTGGAGAGAATAATCCCAATTAGCTATCCCGTAAGACAAGTGTTAATTCAACTTTGTATTTTGAAAAGTAAGTATCCTTTAAGCACAAAATACTTTTGCTTTGTAAGGCAAAGTTGTTACACTGATCTCACCAAAAAGGAATTGCCAATAATTAAAGGGTAGAAAGAGAGTCATGGGGAATTTGGATGACCCCAAAATCAAGTGCTAGAACACTCCCCCACCAGTTGTTTTCATCCATAAAAATGCACTCTCAAAACACACAATTTAAGAGTATCTTGTAGCAACACATTGCATTAACCATTACACAGAAGCATTGCGATGCTTTTGCTCAACACAACATGAAAACGGAGGGGAGTTTGCTCAAAACAACATGAAAACGGAGGGAAGAGGCTATTTTTTTCCTGTCCTAAAAATGCCAAAAGCCCCAGTTCTTGTTTCCACGTGGTATTACTAGTGGATGTGGATATGCATAGTATCAGCATTAATTTCTGTTTTAGGGAGAGATTCACCAGCAAAGCCTGACTACACTACACCACTCTTGAAATATGAACAGCGAATGGAGCGTAGATGCTCCTTTCTTCTACTTCCTCTCTCTTACGCAGCCTCCCCTCCCTCTCCTTTGTTCAGTAAAACCGGCACGGATCAGTGTTTCTTTTTTCTTTTTTTAAAGGTAGTATTCCTGTATATATGCATAGAGCATATATAAAACAATTATTTAAAAATATGATTTTCCTCTCAAATTTTTTAATCTGTTAACATATGTAAAATCCGCTCTATCAAATAGCCATCAGTTCCTGTTGTTTTAGATAAAATTAAGGCTTCTAAAAAATGTCCTACTGCTTCTTGCTGGTTCTCCATAGAACGAAGTGAAGCTAAGCTACCATTGAAAACAGTGATGCTCAGTGCTTTGAAGAAAGCCAGTTATGATATATTTTAGTTCAAAACGCTAATACAGTTTTGAAATCAGTCTCCCAATTGTCCCACCTTACCTTGCTTTGGTTTGCACGGCAGAGCAACCGGAGTCCCTCAACTGGATTCTTTTAAGATGAAACAAAACTAAAAGATCCACTCCATAAGTATACTTAACATGCTCCAGGAGATACCTGGAATTCAACCCACTGGGTGATACTCAAACTAGTCTAAAATATTACCCCAAACTGCATATAATGTGCACATAGAGATGTCATTGCCAACTGGTTTCCCCTACAATGCCACCCCTACTTGCCCATGCCACGTAGATGCAAATTAAGAACAAGCAAACACGGACAGAAACTACCTTTAGTAAAGCAGCCCTGTGGCCTCAGTCCTACTATAAGCAGTGAGAGAGGGTGGCTATTCTGAGACAGGATGGCCCTTGATAGTCTCCAGCCTCCTTCAAAGGAGGAATTTTCATTTGGGGCGGGGGGCAAAGAGGGTGTGTGATTAAAAAAAAGAGATAAAATTCCATTATTCTCAAACATCTAAATTTGACCCTTCAATCCCTTGTTCCTACACAAAGAATTTCAGGAAGCTTTGCTTTCTTGAAAATGCAAGAGCACCTTTTTATTTTTGTTATTCAAGTCATTGGGGGGGGGGGGGGGATGACATTGT